TTTTCTTTGTCCACAGTGAAATTATTGTACAGCAGACATGTTTACTGACTTAGTGGCTTATTTTGGATTTTCTCAAATCCATACAGTATACAAACGGACGTATTCAAACAGAAGTTTGCATACAGGCTCAAACATATACATAAACTTACTCAAAATCTTTCATTAAATTGTGCTGGATGTTCTACAAGAACTACTCCAAGGTCATCAGTTTGAATAATGGTGTGTCAAAGTTATTCGGACGCGTCTCCACTTTGCCCAGGTCTGGCAAAAGACTCAAACTGTCACCCTCAGATGAGAGGAAATTTGTTGGGATGTTAAGGAACAACCCAGAAACCACCAAGACTAGAGCCTGCCATGAACCGAAAACTGTTGGAACGCCAGCATCACTGTCCACAGCGAAGCAAGGTTAACAACGCTGACTGAGAGGCTACTCATCATTTTATGGTCAGAAAAGAGAAAGATTGATGTTTCTGGCCACAATGACAAGAGATATGTTAGGAGGAATAAAGATGAGGCTGTACTAACTGTCAAGCATGGTAGCGGTAGCATCATGCTCTGGGGCTGTTTTGTTGATATTCATACACTGCACAAAGTGGATGGAATAATGAATAGTAATCAACGACTAGACGAAACTTGGAAAAAACTGTGCGTTCCAACAGGACATTGAACCGAAACACACATCAAAACTGGTTTGTGACTGGATTAAACTTCTGGAATGGTCTTCCTAAAGTCTTAACCTCAATCCTACAGACTATGCTTGAAATCCAGGTCCATGTCACGGTTCTGGGTCGGTTCGACCCAGCATTTTGAGTTTATTATGTTTTGATTTATTTTTGAATGATCGTTTTGTTACTCTTGTGCTTTGTTGATCATTATTATTATTATTATTGGAATTCTATGTGTCTGTTTATTCATGTTTTAGGAATTGTCCTTCGGTTGTGTCTGTATAGTATAGTTCAAGTTCCATGTGTCATTTTCTGTCTGTCTCTCAGTGTCGTGTCTGCGTCCTTGTGTAGTGTTTTCTTGTTTCCTGTTTTATTGTGAAGGTCGGCGTCTCATGTGAGTGTGTTCAGTTTTGTCTCGTCTCGTTAATTACTCCCAGCTGTGTCCACCACCTGTGTGTAATCTCCCTGTGAGTATTTAAGTCGCGTCTCCTGTCATTGTAGTTGCTGGTCTGTCTGTGTATCCACCATGTCTCACTCGTGTGTTTTCCCTGCTGTCCGTCGTCATCCTCCGCTGCTCATCCTCCTTCATGTTCATGTCCTGGTTTGTGTTCACTAGTTTAGTTGTTCTCAGTTTAGATAGCCTTCTGTTCCTTTTGCCGTTTGCCCTTTTTTATTTTGTGTTTAATAAACCACCCTCACACCTTTACAAGTGCCTGCGTTTGGATCCTCCTTTATTTGCGAGTGAGATGAGTTCATGGAAATCACTGTATGTAAACTTCTGAGCACAGCTATATATTTCATCCAAGTAAATATTTTACAATAAGAGGCTTTTGTTCCATCCCAGACTTGCAGCTCAAAAGCTGCTTGGAAAGCCACACCCAACCAAATCTGGAGTAAAACTGTGACACAAGCACATGAATACTTCATAAGCAGACATGTGAGCTAAATGGCAGCTTTTGAGGATATAAAATGGGATGAGTGATCCTTGGTCTCTCTTAAATCGGTACAGAATAGCAAATTTATGAAAACTGGCTTCTGTGAATGTGTGAGTTTAAATTAAATGGAAGTACAGGGCCACAGCTTTCCACAGCACAAGTTTCAGTCTTTTTAAGATTTTATTTACTCAGTTGCGTTTCATTGGATTATTCAAAGGATCGAGTCTGAGTCACGGTAGCATTTTAAGAGTTAAGCATGAGGATAATTATTCTCTTTCTCCTTGAAACAGGCCGAGAAGATACAGTCCTTTAGTGCCAGTTAATGCACTTACTCGCTCTCGCTTACTCATGCTTAATACTAACAATTACAAGTGTCACAAATATCAAACTGCCTTCATACTATTCCCTTCACACGATTGAGAGAAAGTCAAAGTACAGCTACTTTGAAACCAAAGACTCTTTATTTTAAAAGGCCTTAGAAGTGTTAGAGAGAAACCCTTTTTCTTTCCATCACTGTCTCATGCTTCAGAAATATAATATCTTCAGTTTTAAAAATGTTTAAATATTTACTTTTGCTTGTTCTTTTTATAAGATCCTACATGGACTTGCTCCACCCTCACTGAGTGAGTTCATCATGTTTAAATCCAATATCAGTGGAAGAGTAATCAGATCCTCTACTAGAAGGGATTGTACAGTACCTTTGGTATCTCACTACCTCTGGCAAAGATACTGAGATGTGGAATGGTATTCCAGCTGTATTAAGAGAATGGACTTCCTTCAACACATTTAAAACTAATCTCAAACGATGGCTAAACAGGAATCAGATTTGCAATCACTAGTTTTATATTAATATGTGTTATTTTTAATGTTACATATTTTGGGTTTCATTGTAATATAACATTTTGTGCTGTAATTTCATGTATTTGTTGTCTGGACTAGATTGTTGTACACTGTCTGAGGGTTTGCTAAATTCCGTATTTATTGTTTTTGTCTGACCTGCCAGGTGCTACAGATGTAAATTTAGCCTGTTGGCTAACTCTGGCATATTTACATTGATATATGTTCATTAATATGCACTGTCTCTTTTTATTCAAAAGAAGATCCTGAGTCACATGTTTCAGTTTCCTTCCACAGGTGGGGAGCACAGTCTGCGCTTCCATTCTGGTGTTTGCATCTCCCTTCATTTGTGTGCATACACGTTCATGCAGCCATCTGATACAACCTCACACCTCAGCGTGCACTTGGCACAGGCAAGGGGCAGGCATCTTAAAATATGCTCAGTGTCACTCACACTCCCTCCTTCCTCTCCATTCACTGTCACGTGCAGCATAAACAAACACCATAAGAAAGGGGCAGCAGTGCATAAACTGAATTATAGCGAGGCACCTTTATGCCTTTGACCTCATGCAGCCATCCACAGATCACCAGAAGGGCACAGCTGACCTATGACATGCCTGCACTTTCTCCCTACATGTCTAAATCAGCAGAGACAACTGGTTCCACATCTCTTAAGCAAACATCAGTGTAGACTAAGAATCATCAGAATCAGAATACTTTATTAGTAAAAGTGAAAGCAAGAAAATTGTGTCTATGAGTATTTAGGCCACAATGCCATATCCACCACAGCATCACTGTGCATCATATCTACTGTCTCTTATGACCGTATTAATCTCTTTAAACACTTAACGAGATTAAAGTAAGAAAAGACATGAACCTGTAAGCTGTATCGTGGCAATTGCCTACTGACAAAGATGAGAGCATAACAGAGGAAACCAAGTATTTCCAGCTGATGTGCTGCAAATAATCTAATCCAGTCCACTACCTCCAAAATGCCTATAGCCTGTACACTGCAAGATTAAACACAGTTTATGATATCTGCGCCATGCTCCTCTCATCTGCTCAGATATCAGTTGTATTATTCCGATCATCAGTCCATTGGTGCGATCATTGTCCTGCACGGACACTGAGCACCGCGAGCCGCGCAATTAAGAAGGAATCAGTGCACTTACCACTTACAGCAAGGAGCGGCGAAGGCAAGGTGCGGGGAGTCGGAAGTTGTCAAATTAATGTTTGCTTCTGTCGTTTTTGTAAGTATGTCATCGTTTGGGTTTTATTTTCGCTGTGCTGGTGTGAGGACGGCGGTTCGCAGGACGGCTTGTCGGCTCTGTGATGCTGGTCACACGGCATGCAAGGCGCGGCGAGAAACGCGCTGCTGTGGCGAAAGGGATAGGAGGGTGGGAAGGAGGGAGAGGAGAGATGGATTACAAGCAGGCCCAGCCGCTTGGAGAAGACAGGCAAACAGCGACTACGCGTGGACATGTGTGGAGAAAGCGTGGAGGGAACTGTAAATGTTTACCTGTGCAAAAGCGTCCACCTGTCCTCACATTTATCATTGTGATTCACCTCTGCCATTCTTCGTTTCGGCCTCAGGAGGAAACTGTTTTCAGGCTGGAGAAAGTTACATTTTACGTTTTATTAACTGCTTTGCACCAGCTTTTAGCCCAGTGGTTTTAAAAAAAAACTATTTCTGGCATGACCCAGTTGTGAAATAAAATTTTAAAAATTATAATTTTAGTGAAATAAAAAAGTAAACACAGCAACCTTTTATTAAATACGGAAGCGTAGAGCTGCCACCCAGGCAAAAGAAAAATACAAGTGTATCACGTTATAACGTGAAAGGTTTATTGTTCTAACAAGATACTTTTCCTGTTTGTACAATATACTATTATGTTTGTACAATATACTATCACGTTCGTACAATATAAATATTATAATAATATAAATATTATATTGTACAAACGTGATAATTATGTATATTGTAATAACGTGATATTATGTTGTTCAAACGTGAAAAGTATATTGTACAAACATGATAGTATATTGTACAAACAGGAAAAGTATCTTGTTAGAACAATAAACCTTTCACGTTATAATGTGGTACACTTGTATTTTTCTTTTGCCTGGGTGGCAGCTCTACGCTTCCGTAACGCTTCCGTACTTTACCATACTTTACCAAGTACAAATACTAATACTACTACAATTTTCAGGTATCTGTAGTTTCTTCTCCTTACATTTTGGTCAAATAAAATAAAATAAAAATACAGATTTTTTTTTTCCTTTGGTAAAGGTTAAATAAAAAAAATGAAATAAAATGTGTTTTTAATTTAATATGATTATTTAATTTCTTGTTGTTATTATTATTATTATTATTATTATTATTATTATTATTATTATTATTATTATTATTATTATTATTATTATTATTATTATTATTTTATATTATTATATAACTTTTGTTAAAATTAAAAAATATCTGATAGAGAAATTATCTGGTAAAGAAATTAAAAAAAAAAGAATCCCACCCGAAAAAAAGACCACGTGGGACGAGTGGTGACGTAAATCTCGTGCGACCGCAGTTCCGACACGGCCAGAAAATATTGCGGAGTGGAAGTGGTGTTTTTGCGCTATAAAAGACGCCTTTAGCACCTTTTGGAAATGCCTGTGTGCAACTTCTTTCTTCAGGGCCGCTGTCGTTACGGCGAAAAATGTTGGAATGAGCACCCAAGAGGAGGAAGCAGAGGAGGAGGAGGTGGTGGAGGAGGATATAACAACAACTACAGCAACCGCTCCTCTGGTCAGCAACAGCCCAGAAGTGGAGGTGGAGGTAACGTCTTTGATAAGTTAACATTCATCTAAACGTACTTTCAGTTTCTTTAGCATTCTTCGTGTGATGTTTTCGCTCTCTTAGCTAGCTGTTGTTAGCCTTCCTTTACTGTTCCACTGAATTGTAGGCAAATTAAGTTTGCTTCGTGGGTAGGGTATTTGAACAGTGGGCTGAGATTGTGCTTATCTAGGTAACTTAACCATGGAGTTAACCCTGGATTTTCAACTGTGGTTCACTTCTTACTGGGGTGTGTCACCGTCATGCTAACTTATTTAGAAATGGAAGGGTATGTTGAATTCACTTCATAGCACGGGGCCCAGTCAAAAATATCAACCCTGTTAAGTTTTAAGTATGTCAACAACTTGGCATATGGTGTTTTTTTTTTTGTTTTTGTTTTGGGTTTTTTTCCCCCAAACTTGAATGGGCATCACAGAAGAGGTTTTCCTGTTATTCTGAAGCCACATGAATGCACATTTAGTATAGGAGGGATGTGTAATGTTACTGTGTTGTAGTTTCTTTTCCAATGCAGTTATACTGGAAACAAATACATATTTTACAAAGGTCAGGTGTGTGCTAAACAACAGCAATTTAATTTCATGTTACCACTTCATGAGACCTCATGGTGGTTATCAAATAAATGAATGTAAAGCAGACAACCAGCTTTCAGTAAAGCAGAAAGTTGAGGATAAAGCTATCCAGAGAGCTAATAAAGTGATTTAAACAAGGATTAAAATTGTTTAATAATGATGATGCACTATGGAGTGTGTTTTACACAATTTGTAATGCTTTGTGACACTGGTTTGTATTTTGATTCCAGGGTTTGGAAACAGAGTCTGGGTGAATCCTTCCCAGCAAAAAGGAAACTACATCCAGCCTTCATCCTTCTCTTCTCACGGAAGTGACGACTGGGGTCATGGAGGAGGTGGGGGAGGGGGAGGAGGAGGTGGTGGTGGTGGAGGGCGAAGAGAAAATGTGAAGAGCTCCGACTTTAGTTTCTCAAGTCAAAACAGATTTTCAGCTCTTAATACTCCCAGCACCTTTGACAGGGGTGGCAGGGGGGGAGGAGGAGGAAGGGCAGCGGGAGGAACAGTTGGTGATGAAGACGACGACAAAAAACTGTGAGTCTTTATGAGAAAACATAATGTTTTTGTTTTGTTTTTTTAATCAGTCGTAAGGAAATCATTGTCATATTTGTTATCCAGGGAAGTTATTCAGATGGACATGGATGTTTGGGAGAAGTCTGGCCAGTGGGGATTCTCGTGTTATTATAGCTTCAAGACACTTGTATCTGGTGTGTATGAGATTTTTCATTTTAAATGTACATTTTTAAAAACTGAAACACTGGACTTGAACATGTTTCCTATGTTCTGACTACAGGTTTCACTGACCTCTCCCCTGAAGAGCTCCGGCTGGAATACTACTCCACAAGACCTTCAGGAGATCTGCAGGGCTACGTAAGTGTAGTGTTCCTTAGTAATGTCATGTCTGTTTGGCTTTGGGTCAGTAGTCATCTTGTATAGGATAAAGGTCTAATCATCTCTTAGTTTACTCAGATGGCCCCAAGTCTTTTTGTTACATGGGCTTGATTATTATAATCAAGCTCTAATTTAATATCGGAAGGCAAAAGGTTAAATGTGTTTAAGTATTTCTAAGAGTATAAGAAATTCCTCTTCTCTGTGCTTAGATGAATGGCATCAATCAGCTGCTCAGTCAGTGGAAAAACAGAGTCCAGGAATTGAAGATTATGAATCCAGCCACTCGTGCGGCACTGGTAAGACACACAGATCCTCACAAACATCGCTTCCCAACTTTAGATCATTTGTTACAATTCCAGAGTCCATAACTGGTCCCTAATGAGACGTGAAAACCAAACAGCACTGAGAAGATGTGTTTAGATTTTTACCATTAGGTGTGCATGTCAGCAGTGTGCAGCAATGGAAATGTCAGAATACATTAAATCTAAACCACACCTGGTTTAGATTTAATGCTGACGTTCTGATTTGACACTAGCATTGCTCCTGTCTGTTTTGGGGCTTTTAATTCAGTGTTTTACGTTTTGGTTTTGTTTTTTTACTTCATTTGTTTTCATTGCAGCTTGCAGAATTAAATGGTGCCGCACCTCAGGGATCTTCAGGTGGGTTTGGTTCGACAACAGCAACTGGATTTGGATCCTCCATCTCCAGCTTTGGAAGCAAAGGTAAAGATTAACTATTTCTTTATTGAATCATAAACTGTCTTTCTTTTTTGAAGGTACTTCCCATTTCTAATGAGTTATGATACATGAGCAGATTTTACAGAGACTGCATGTAGTTTAGTATTTTAGCACTAAATTAATCAAAGTATAGGTTTTCAGAATTTCATAATAAAAGGTATTTTATAAAATTATCCATCACTCCATGATAACTCTAAGTCCTTCTGTTCCTGCAGATTTTGGTGCACCAGCCCAGGCCAGCGGTTTCAGCTTTTCTGCTTCAAATAGTGGATTTGGCTCTGCAGCCACACAGTCATCTTCAACAGGTTTTGGTGACATCTTAGCAGCTCCCACACAGCCTCCCTCTGGGTTCGGCACTGCGTCCTCCTCTACACCTTCAGCTTCAAGTTTCTCCTTCGCCTCTACCACCACGGACAAACCAGCACCTGCGTCAGGATTTGGATCTGCCTCTGGATTTAGTTTCCCCACTGGAGCAAGCAGCAGTTTCGGGGTTGGAGCCCCTGCGACAACAGGAAGCAGCAGTCTTTTTGGGCAGACAAGTGGAGGATTTGGGGCAGCAGCCACTCAGCCCACTTCAGGAACTGGGTCTGCCGAAGGGGCGTCGGACAGTCTGTTTTCCCCTGAGAGTAAACTGACCGAAGAGGAACTGAGTCAGTTCAAGGCTAAGAAATTCACTCTGGGACAGATTCCACTGAAGCCCCCCCCTTCTAACCTGCTAGTGGTGTGATACTGTGGAGAATATGGGTAGATTATTAAACTAAAAACTATAATTTTTGTGTAAACTTTAAGCTTTAAACCTTTTCCGTGCAAGTAATTTTGAAGATGTGGCTGACATCCACACACTTCTCCTCGGTGTAGGTGGAGAAAACTCAGTTTGGAAGTGTGCTGTGTACTTTCGAGCTATCTTTTGTCATAAAAAGTTCTATTTTTGAACGATTTTAGGTTGCATGGGTTTTAATTTGTTCATTTTTTTCCCCTTTTATTAAGTGCCTAAGGGTACAGCAAGAAAAGTTGATGGGGGGGGGAAACCTTTTAAAGGTTTATTTTAATTTTTAATGATCAAACATGCAAAATTCAGCAAATCAGCTTCTTGAACTTTATGTGGAGTAAATTTGAGATTATCTGTGTTTTGGGCTAAAGGTAAATAAATGTATTTCATTTAAGGTTTCATGGGATAGGAATTCTTGCTGTAATTACATGTGTCAGTCAGAAGGTGGTGTCACAATACAAGCTGTCCATGAGGGTTTTTTTTCTTTATTATTATTGTTATTTTTTTCTGCATTTAAGTGTACTTGTGTTTTAACCTAGAAGTACTTTTTAACTTCAGGCTACTTTTCCCTTGCAATGGAAAATGTGACAAAACAACAAAATCAAGGCCTGGAAACCAAAAACAAACATTTATTCACACCAGATTTCTGCTAAAAGACAGCAAAGTGAGGCAGCTTCCAAATGACAGAGAATAAATAAGCTGTTCAGAATGTATTTATTAGGTGCTGAGCAAATGGTGGGACAGCAAGAGTGATCCATGTGACAGCAATAAACCATTCTGCTGAGGGGGCTCTAACTCTGCTGACTCGAGCATATTTTCAGCTGACGGGGAGTGCGTAGCTTCAGTCGGAGGTGAAGCTGGGTTTTGTGTTTGACTGCGTTTGTGTGTCCGTGTTTTACAGCCAGGTCAAAAAGGCCTTGTAGATATAATTAATACAAATATTATGTGTTCCTATAAATACTGAACATTAACTGCGAGCAACAGTGTGCAACACAGTCATTTTCTCTCCTGCTCCTCTGTCCCTCAGCAGTAACCTCCCACCCACCCCCTGCTAGAAGATGATAAATAATTCAGCTGATTAATGAATGACTGAAAAAGACACACTCATGAAAAGGCACTTGCTCCCTCGTGCCGCTGAAATGTGTTTGTACTGCTGTCCTGTGACTTTTAAAGCAATCTAACTGATAAATAAGGGCGCTTGTGAGTGTTTGTTACCCCGCCCCACACCAAATAAGCAGGTTTGCTACGGCATCAAATCGATAGCATTGCTTGTGTTTACGTAGGGTATGCATGAGTAAGGGGATGAGTCTGTGGATACCTGAATACACACACAGAAACGCACGGGGTTTCATTGGTATTATTTACTCACTCTCAGATACATCACCTCAGTGATGATGTGGGATTGCTCGTCTGACCAGTTGTGCGTAATCTTAACACACATGCGTACCCTCCTTTCCTCCCATGGATCATTAAATATTCCCCAAGAGGGACCCTACATTTAAAATGATGGAAATACAGCGTCAAGACTTGAGTCCATATACTCCTTCAGTCCTCCCTTCCCAACCCTCCTGTGAAATCACTGTTTAAACAACACAGCGTGCACTGTAATCCAATTGACTGTGCCCTGACTTCAGCAACACGGACCAGATGTACACAGTATATGGTGCTTTAATATATTTAACACACCTATCGATAAGAGGGAAACAGGAGCTGTCTGTCTGGTTGATGCCCTCCTTTAGACTGCATGCTCCAGCTGTGTAGCAGCCCTTTGAATTATGACTTCTGCCTGCTGCTAACTTTTCCAGATCAGCAATTTTTGTCTTTATTATAGGGTGACTAAATGCACGCTGTTTCCATTGCCACTGTGGTGTCTGCATTAGCTGATGTCAGCACTGGAAAGAAAGAAACGCTTCGGTTGCCCCTCTGCACATTTCAGAGGAACTGAGTTGAATCCAAAACTACTATAAATAGGGTATGATTCCAGGTGACCCCTCCAACACACACACACACACACACACACACACACACACACACACACACACACACACACACACACACACACCACCCCTTTTATAGTTGTAGCAGAGAACAAGGCTTAGTAATTGGAGCTATGAATCCAGAGGTAGAATTGATTGTGTTGTGCCACAGCAGTTTGCCTATGGGAAACAGGGCATTGATCCAAGGCCTCTGATTTATGCCTATCTGCCTGGCTTTTTGCAAGAGGCCTTGGTGGCACATATTTCACCTGCAAATATATTTTTATAGGTCCATGTCTGGCCTTGTGTTTCCATGCTGAGGATGTTTATGGTTTCATAGTAGGATTAGTGTCTTCCGCTTAACACACTGAGAGTAAGAAACGTTGGCTTAGAGAATATACTGCACATGCTGCATTTAAGGCTGGGCTAGTCTCAAATATTGAACTGGAGATCCAAAAAGGCTGGATAGAAAATACATTCAAAGCATCAATTTTAACTGTGCAGACACTGCTGCATACTCACTAAGTGGAAACGGAAGCATAGCCATTTCAATTTCATTAGATCTCATATAAATCCAAAATACTTTCCAGTAAAGATCATGTCTGCTTTTTTTTTTTTTTTTTTTTAAATTTCATTTCACATTAATCTAGTGTACTGGTGCTGTACAGACTGGGTAACTCAGACAGTAACAATGTGATGTGTTATGAGTCATCTCTAGCAAACATCCAGTATACTTGTTGAGTTTTATACATTACAGAAATGGAAAAATTTAAATGCTGTGTCCAAGCCAAGAGTCTCAACTTGCATAGGCCTACTGTACGTACTCCAGCCTGCGATTGCTTGCAGCTGTTTGAGTTAGAGAATAATTTCAGTCTTGCAAAGGGCAGCGACTACGGAAGCGTAGAGCTGCCACCCAGGCAAAAGAAAAATACAAGTGTATCACGTTATAACGTGAAAGGTTTATTGTTCTGACAAGATACTTTTCCTGTTTGTACAATATACTATCATGTTTGTACAATATGAATATTATATTGTACAAACAGGAAAAGTATCTTGTCAGAACAATAAACCTTTCACGTTATAACGTGATACACTTGTATTTTTCTTTTGCCTGGGTGGCAGCTCTACGCTTCCGTAGTAAAGTCCTTGGTAAATGTTGTTAAATAATGTCACAACTACTAATAACTCACTCAGCTACTAACTTATAAGATCTTATTAAACATGACTCAGCTAAAATAATCACTTGTAAAATGTAAATTACAGCTACAGCATGATGTGTAATAATGTTAAAGTTAAAAGTGATTTAATGTTTGTAAGACCTTAGAATATTTAATAATTATTAAATATTTGCACAAACTCTGACTAAAATCCAAGATACACCTTTCATCACGCCTTTGTGGTTTGGAATTTCAGAGTTGGAGAAACTTTTTGAACCTAAGAAAAAAAGCACACTGAAGATGTCAAACACTTTCTTACCTACAGTTTGTAGCTGTCAGTAAATAGTAACCTTAAAAGCTATGGTGGAACTATAAGAAAGTTACGGTGCTTACTGTAATGTAAAAAAAAAATAAGTAAACACTAATTTAAGATAATTAGAAATGGTGTAAATAATCTGTATCGATACCTCACTGATACACAGCGACTACACCACACTCGTTCTTAATTTCCAAAAATGTAAATGTAAAAGATGATCATTTATAGTTTTCAACACAGGAATCCCCCAATGCACTACTTTCTCTAAACATGTACAATAAAATGTAGCTTGCATCACATTTATTTTTCTATGGAGGACACAATTCACAGAAAATATAAAAGTTTTATTTTTGCTTTCCGTGTTATCAAAAGGATATACTTTGATACAGACAACTACATGCAAAACACTTTCTTTGAAAGCCCAGTAATATAGTCTTTCTTAACAATAAATTAGAAAGTAAGTACCAGTAAGGTCATGAGAAAAGGAATGTCATAAAAACATATAGTTCATATATGAAAACACACGATCTTCTTAATAAAAGCACTACTTTTTAAAAATGTCAATACTGTATTTTATAGTGTAGCTTGTTTTAACAAAGTCTGGTCTTCAAGAGAATATTAAAAATAAAGCTTTCTTTAAGTAAAAGAAAAAAAGTTTAATGCTATTTTGATTATTAAGATGAGCAGCAATACAATGCCGTACCATTTAAAATTAAAAATCCTTGCATGAATTGGCATGTAGCATGTTTTTCACCACATAGATATGGAAAGACTAGTTATTTTACATACCATAGGCATGGAACAAACTTCAATTTTTTATGTTAATTGAAAAGCTTAAAATTGCAGAAGTGTAGAGCTGCCAGCCAGGCAAAAGAAAAACAGAGCTATATTACGTTATGACATGAAAAATCTAAAAATATACTTTTCTTGTTTGTTACATATATTTTAATGTTAGTACAATATCCTTTTTTACGTTTGAATAACATAATATCACGTTATTACAATAAACATAATTATCACGTTCGTACAATATAATATTTATATTGTACGAACGTAAAAGCTTTTTTGTTATAACGTGATAATTATGTTTATTGTAATAACGTGATATTATGTTGTTCAAATGTGAAAGATATATTGTACAAACATGTAAAGTATATTGTTAGATTAATAAACGTTTCACGTTATAATGTGATATAGCTCTATTTTTCTTTTCCCTGGGTGGCAGCTCAACGCTTCTGTATAAAATCATCAACACGTAAACATTTCTTGAGCTGAGAAATTTGAACTACCTTTAGCTTAATCGCCTTTCAAGTAATCCCTGGTTAGTAAATTTTCTAAACGATGAGATTTACTAAAAAATTAAAAAAAAATTGTGTACCAAAAACTAGCAGATAAGAACGTCTGGATTGAACTTGTAGGACAGATTACTGTAAGGCAGTTGTCTCGAACTCAAGTCCTCGAGGGCCGCTGTCCTGAAATGTTTCCATGTGTCCCTGTTGCAACACGCCTGAATACAATTAGTAGGTCATTAGCAAGACTCTATAGAAACAATTCAGCCATGTGATTCATGTTACAGCAGCTCATGAGTGAAAGAACCTGGTGCAATAAAAGTACTTTTAGAAGTACATTTTTCCAAACACTTATACTTGAGTAGGGTTATGGGTTGCCACGTCAGCATGCAATCAAGTTCTATACTCTTGCTAATGACCTACTAATTTTATTCAGGTGTGTTGCAACAGGGACACATGGAAAAGTTTCAGGACACCAGCCCTCGAGGACTGGAGTTCGAGACCCCTGCTAAGGTG